GTTATTGCAGAAAATGTAATGGATAATATGTAAAGAGCCCACATTTTGCTTTTATTATGTAGAATGGGCCTCTGCCTTGTGTTTGTTTATTTTAAACATATTACACTTTGTACATTCAGAACTAGACATCTTCAAGCATGATGCTTCCCATGGCCCAAAGCAAACAGCTCTGATTCTAGCATCCTATTATGCGTGGATGAAAAGCTAGGCTAATAACTAATTTTCATCCTCGCAACACGAACACCCCTGACAAGATTTAAAGCGCTTGTATTTAATGCATGTTTACTAACATTAGCCTAAGGTGGACAATTGGGCAAGGAAGAAACACACCAAACCGGTTCTGCATTACAACTAAGCCATTTTCCCCCACTGGGAAGAACAAAATGAAGAGGGAAAGGCCCCAAAGCAATCACAGACATAAAGAGGAAGAAAATGAAGAAAAGCAAGAATACCCTGTGGCAAAGCTGGACGCTTAGGTTTCAGGAATGCCACACCCCTTCCCCAGCCCTGCTCTATAGATGTCTTGTTCTTATTATGACCAAGAGCTTATGGGGAAGAGCCAGTTTTGAAGGCCTTGCTGATCAATACCTAGGGATAGGCAAATCTATCCATTTTTGTTTCTCTCTGTTTTTCATTTTTTTAATCTTAAATTCAGTTTTCCACGTTTGTTTGTTTTTAGATAAAAAAACTCTGTATTTTTAGTGTGAAATTATCCTAATATAACACTTTAGCAAAGCTGTTTCCCCAAATATAATGCATTTGTGTACATTATTTTCACCAATATATGCATTTTTACGAAGCTTTACCTGAGTTTGTACATTTTTATGAATATAACTTAGCTGGAAACTGCATTGCAAAATGGAAGGATGGCTGTGCTTTGGTTTGTTCATTGTTTTGGATACTGTCCATTAGGCAGGCTTGTATTTAATATGATTTGAAAAAAATTTCTTCCCTACCCCACCCCTGGATGCATACCATTCTGTAAGACTACTCTTTTCCTCATTAAGCTCTGCTTTAAGGGATATAGCTTTAAGGGATATAGCTTCTGGGGTGCAGGTCTCTCTCCAGGCCTGCCCACAATAAACCATGACAAGTGTAAGGCTTCTTAGGTCTCTTAATCTCATCATGGCTATTTAACTCCTAGGGAGAGCTTTATAACCCTATAGTACCTGCTGACACTTAGGTGGAGCCTCACATCTTGGGCCTTGATCAGGCATAGGCAAACTTAGCCCTCCAGCTGTTTTTGGGCTACAACTCCCATCATCCCTGACCACTGGTCCTGTTGGCTAGAGATGATGGGAGTTGTAGTCCCAAAAGATCTGGAGCTCCGAGTTTGCCTATGCCTGCTCTTGATAATGGCAATGGGGTTCTTTTTTCTAAGTTAGATAAGTCACATCACACTGGTGGGTCTTGTTGTACTGAATGCCACATGGCCTCTGAGAGATTCCCCAGGTACAACCATGACATTCACAAGAGTTTTTTGCACTGAAGGTGGTCAAACTACACCTATGCAGTGGAGGTTGTTCCATTAAGGCAAATGGGTCACTGCCTCACCACCTTCAGACTGCCTTCAGCCAGCTGCCACCCTACCTTCCTATTTACAACAAAATACCTTTGTCTGTACAGTCATACGTTTACGTTTGCTTCAGGTTACATCCTGCAGCAACCTGGAAGTACCAGAAAGGGTTACTTCCGGGTTTTGCCGCTTTCGCATGTGCAGAAGCGCAAAATGACATCACAAGCATGCACAGAAGCAGCGAATCGCAACCTGCACGTGCGCAGACGCGCCGCTGCGGGTTGCACTCTTTTCATGTTGCGAACAGGCCTCTGGAACGGATTCCATTCACAACCAGAGGTACCACTGTATTTAGCTCAGCCTTCACCTGCCTTCTGTCCTGCCCACCAGCACTGCTACCAAGCCCATGTTTGCGCTTCAGCTTCTAGTTTAGGTCTGCAAGATTTAAGTTAATTGTATAAAATCCTGGATGCTTTGACAATGGCATATTTAGTCAGGGCTCCCAAAAGCTGAGGGCATTTCAGTATGAAAACACAAGCATTTGCTAGGCATTTAGAAGCTTCCATCATCCTGCTCTTTTTGTGTAGGTTTCTTGTTACATGAAGATGAACCTTGACACCAGTGAAACAACTCCCATTGTTCTTGTTTTAAAACTGTTTAAAACTGTTCTTGTTTTAAGACAAGTATTTTGCCTCATTGTGTCCACCTTTGAGGGTCATTCACGCATAGCATAAGTCTCTCCCTCCAGACTGCCTGTGTCTGAAAAATGAAAAACTAAGAGAAACTAAAATGGGCAGATTTGCCCTGTATGTGTGAACTAGTCTTACGTCAAAATACTCAGTCTCAACTGGTGTGTGTGTGTGTGTGTGTGTGTGTGTGTTCTACCACTAGAGCGTACTGTTTTACAGTCAGTGCAGAAAGGAGAACTGCTACAATAACAACATAATTTTATTCTTGAGGATAAGAACAGAAGTTTGGCATATGACAAACTGGGCAATCAACGTGATTAAAAGAGGCCTGACTCACCGTCTCTGTCTTGTGAAAATGCTACCACATTAGTTTTTCAGGGAAAGTTCAGGTAAAAGCTAGAGACAACTAGTGTGAAGATGTAAACAGCCACAAGGAAATGCTTTCAGCCATATGGTATGCCTTGTATTTCAACACATGTGGTCAACAGTTTTCTCTCAAGATGATCAAAAAACATACACATTCACTCAAATGAAGGATAAGAAATCTGTGCAATTTTCTCCTGCTTTTCAGCATCTTAGCTTTACCCTTCAAACTTTTTTTTAATGACTACAATGCATGAATCATTTCAAATGAACCACCGACAACAGGAAGTGTGGGCTTTAATGTTCCAATTTTGGAGGCAGTGGATAGTGATAGCTTTGCATATGGGAGAACCAGGCTGAATTACATGGAACCTTTGTGTGGCCATGGGCAAGTCAATCTCAGCCTCGGCAGCTTTTATGTAAAATACAGATTTATCATTATATTATATTTTATCATTATCAAGTTTGTTTATAAGCTGCTTTCCCAGCAATGTTCAATGCAGTTCACAATAACATTACGACACAAACATCAATACAACAATAGATCAAAGGTATATAAAATGGCATAAGCATACTGTATGAAATCCATTATTAAAACATTTCAGAAATCATAGCATTTATCTTCACATTAGCCAGTTAACAAAACAACATCCTATCAATTAAATTCCACCATTATTGAGATTGGCACAAAAGTATCCATTTAGCTAGCTAACTTATCCATAAGGTCTAATCATGAGGTCTACTAGGCCACACGGACTCTCCTAGAACCTTGGCACTGAGGCCAGGAATTCCATGTTCTCAAGGGCCGTTGCCTAGCAATGGAACTTGTGACCATTTGAACTGAGGTTCCTGCATCCTCTGCATCTCGAGGTTTGCAGTGGTGGCCTGTAGTGACCTTCGCTCAGTCACTACATTAGAAGATGGCGTCCCAAAGATTCCTGGAGGTAAGTGGAGGTTGCCATGGCCAGAGGACTTAACTCTAGAACCTAGATTAATGGTCTCACCAAGTTTGGCAAAGAGCTATCCAAAGTCAAAGAAAGGGTTGAGCTTTGCCCAAGTTGTAGGAAGGGGAGAAGGAATGCCAAAAAGGAAAATTTAGTGTTCTATATTGCAGTCGATTGAATATTATTTTGAACAGAGGATTCCTTCTGATTTATGTACATGTGAATCTGGGAGAGGCTTCATTTCTATTTCTACATATGCTGGATGTTATCTTTGTACTATAGTTTGGAGGGAAAGGGAAAAACAGAAGAAGAAAAGAGTGTGGGAAGGGGGTGCCGGATGGATCTGGTTTTTCTGCAGAGCTGATGCAGGGAGCCCTGCTGCCCACCTGTCCCCCAACTGTCATGTGGCAGCAGCCATTTCATCAGGCTGCCTCAGTGGGAGATATGAGAACAGCATTCTAGACCCTGGGGCCCGAGCTTGTGAGTTGTCTTTTCCTCTGCCCTCCTTGCCCCCTTTCCTTGTGTGTTGTATTTCTCTTGGTCAGATTGTTTATTACAATAGAAGTCTGCGATTAGGGAGTTTCTTGCATTTGATTTCATGGAAGGCTCTCTTGGAGTCTTTTTGGCTTAGGAGAGGGGTACAAATGCTCTAAAGGAATGAATGGATGAATAAGGTCTCTAAGGAAATTGAGGACAGAGATTTTCAGTTTCTTTCCTAACCTACCTTGCCTGCACTTTCCTGATCAACACAAAAACATGAATGGGTCTGATCCACTCCTCACATTCTGACGTTCCTGTTTCTCTTTTCTCGTGGACAGGGAATTGATTTCGACGAGGATCAAATATCAGAAATCAGCCTGGAAGAAGGGGAGGATCTTCCTCCAAGGTAATGCTGTGCTAATCCCCTCCCCCCAATCATCAATTGCTTTCAAAAGGCCCCCCCCATCCATTTCTATGGGGTCTTTGAAGGATGGGAGGCAATAAAACCTTTTTACACAAGTGCTACTCCTCTCTCCCCTCAGCATCCCAACCACAGGTTCATCGGATGCGGCTGATGTTCCTCCCGAAGGCTTCAGCAAGGACCAGCTGAAGGCCAGACTTACAGATGTCGTCACCACGATGAAGAGTGGGAAGAAGATGGTCCGAAGGAAGGTGCTCCGAGAACTTTCCGACCTCCTGCAGAAGATCTAGGAATATGTGAGTTACTGAAGCAAAGCATTGCAACCATGCAGGGATGTCAAAGCCTTCAGGCTGCTCCTTCTAGGCCCACCCTGCAAGGTGCCCAAGGGACAATCAGGCATCCCAGCACATACTCAATTTTAAGAACAGAGCTGGGCCATAGCAGAATGAATCCTAGTGAGTAAAACAGCTGATAAAAGAAGTAAAAAGCCCATCCTGCGGCACAACGAAGGTAAGACTGGAAGAATGCATCGCAGCATGGGGTGGGGTGAGCAAGACCCGAACTAACTTTGGCTTTCCTTTGCAGAGATGCTGGCACGGACGTCAAGGAACCAAACACTCATCATCAGAGCTCAGAAGGTCAATTCCACTGGAGGACCGGTTCCTGAATTGTTCATCAATGACTGCTACTCTCTTGCCAGGGTAAGTCGCTGTTACACAAGGCACAGCGGTCTCTTAAGCCACATGTTCTGGGTTCCGCAGAGAAAGCACCTGGGCTTTCTGCTCCCCAGCCCTGCCCTGTGGGCATCTCTGACCTTCCTCTCTTGCTTCAGGTCTTTGGCGCCTTTCTCCCTGCGGAGCAGCTCTTGGAGGCCATGTGCTTCCTGGCCAGCAACATGGTTCTTGAGAGCAGCTTCGACCCCTTGGACATCTCCCACCTGCTGCAAGAGTTCATCAAGCAGTTTAGCGGCAAAGCAGTAGAGGTAAGGTGTCTTCAAAGGTAGGAGAGAAGAAGAATCTCCGCTTTGGTGTAGGGGAGGCAACCTAATGCCATTGGGTGGCCAGGACTCATGTTTGTTGAGAGGGCCCTGGCAATGTCAGGACAAGAAGCTCAGCCAAGGGTCCTGAGAAACATGGGTTCAGGAATGGGGAATCCTCCTCCTCCTGGGAGCAGACTGGTAAGCTTTTCTCTTGGCTCACAATGGAGAGGGGAACTGGTTCCCTGGAGCTGCCTGTGTCCAATACTCCCAAGGACCCTGATTGGTACCTTTGAAGGAAGATGGCTGTGGTGGCACAGGTCAAGGGTCCCTCTTTCTATGAGGGATGGAGGGATCCGCCTGCAGACAGCCCCGCTTCCTTGTACTCTCCAAGCAACCTTCTCCTTTTCTCTGACAGGTGGAGGTGCTGCTGGAGGCCTTCTACAAAATCACCCAGGGGCCTACAGTGGAGGGCAGAAACATGGCCGTCTTCACATTCTCCATCTTGTCACAGCACCACCTGGTGAAAGTGGTTGAATACCTCCTCCAGTTTCCCTTCGGGTATGGAGCCCTCCAGGTTCTACTGGGCTAAGGGGAAGGTTGGCAAGCTGCAGGGCTTGCTCAGAAAGCCCTTGCTGCCATTTCCTCTCTCTGGAGCATGGCAGCAAGCAGAAGACTTGAATCTGACCATTGCTCTTGTTTTTGCATTCACAGAGACTGCGAGAGAGTATGGAAGGAGGTTTTGGAATCGGCCAACCAAGAACAACTGCTCCATCTCATGGCTGAGCAGCTTTACCAAAGCCCCTTGGCAGAATCTGCCACCCAAGTGGTAAGAACGAACCACCTGCTTTCTGGCTTCCTTCTTCCCAGGGTAGTATCGAGGGGTTTCTGTATTCTGCAGAAAAGCAGGGAAAGTGACTTGCACCTCTCTCTTCTACAACAACATCTCACCAGCCTGTTCCACGCTATCCTCAGGATAGAGGAATACAAGGCAGCTGTGCGCCGGAATTTCCCACAGCTGCTGATCGCTCTCCTGGGGATGGTTGTCAACTTCCACTACGACCAGGAATTCCTTGGGTGAGTAGTGTGTTGCAAAGGGGCCAATGGAGTCGTTTTCCCTTCAGCCTCTGGGGGTTTCCAGTCCAACTTGGTTTTCTAGGTTTTCAGGCGGCTGCTAGGGAGGAAGGATGGGGAAGGAATGTGAGTGTGTGGCAATGACCCTCATGGTAAAACTGGCCTTGCTTTGGTTACAGAGGGGCTAAGGAAGTTCTGTACCTCCTTCTCGGCACCACTGGAGAGGAAGTAGAGATGGCCATCATAGACCAACTTTTCTGCCCGGAGAATTTCAGCCAGGGGTTGTCTGCCATGGTGAGGCAAGAGGAAGAACAGGGTGACCTTCCAATGGTCTGGCAAACGGAGTTGAAGGCACAGGATCGGACTGTGCCCCTGTTTGCTTCCTACGGTGTCTCTCCCCTCCTTACCAATATCTGCTTCTCCATTTCAGAGCTGTCGGAAAGCGACGCTGGTGGATCCCTCCCATGGTAGAAAACATCACTGCTGCTCTCGAGGACCAGGAGTTTGCCGGAATGCCACAAGTAGCGGCAGCTATCTACATCGAGGTGAGGGGGACTGACGCGGGAGGAAATGGGTGCAGCAAGGAGACCCTGGCTTGGTTTCTGCCGAGTGTTGGGCTTTGTGTTCTTCGGCTCCCTTTGTGTCCTTGGTTCCCCAACCAGCCTTCATCAGAATTTGGACCTTGCAGCTGTCTTTAGCTTCCATATTCTGTGGCTTTTGTCAAGGCTACTTTGAGCCTAAGGACTGTTGCCTGTTTTAGTGTTCCTCAGAGTAGACCCATTGGATTTGATGTCCATGACAAACATGGGTCCATTCACTTCAGTGGCTTTGCTCTGTGCAGAACTACAGATGGTGGATAAAAAGAGAACCTGCCTCAACCTCTCATCACTGAAGAGTTTCTTTCTCTTTGGGCCTCTTTAGCTGCTCAGCTGCCGTCTGCAGATCTATGCCTGTGAGAATACACTGGAGCAGCTCCTCACCTGGCTGGAACATGACCACCTGCAAGTCCGGAAGCTCAGCGTCAGAGGGATATCCCTGCTTCTGGACTCTGACATGGCAAGTGATGCTCAGAGGGAGGGAGGGGGGTACAGATCCCATTTCTAATCATGGCCCAGCTCTCTTTTGCTGACATAATGCTGAAGGGCCTGTGCTAAAAGAAAAAACGTGGGGCCTTTCAGACCTTTGAAAAGATGCTCTCTTTTGTGTAGGACCCTTCGCTTCTACGGCTGTTGCTGCTGGATTCCCTCCCTTGTGCAGACACTGATGTCCTCCCAGACTTGATGCACCTGGTAGACCAAGCCTACCTCTCCAGGGAGCTGGGAGAGGAAGAGATAAAGATGCTGGCGGCAACCTACTGCGGTCTGGCTGCCCATGTGAGTATTAGGGAACACATGACATCACACACGGTGGAGGAGGAATGCTTTGGAAGAGGAAGGGTAGTGTTTAGACTGGCATGCAGTGGAGATCTTCTGGCTTCAGGAGGGTGTTCCTCTGGAGCACCTTCTCTTGGAAGCCTGCCTGGAAAACACAGGGGGAGGAGGGTAGGGGGCTGAGCAGCCTCAAAACACCCCGGTGGGCAGGCGAAAGGAAACTGCTCTGATGAGAAACACAATCTCTGATGTTTTCTGCCTATAGGAGGAAGACTCTGTCCGAGCCTCAGCCATCCAACATCTGGGGCTGCTTCGGGGCTGGGTGAGAGACCAAAGGCTTCCCATAACAACAACAGAAGAAGAAGCCATTCATGAACTGGTCGTCGTCCTCATTCACCTCGAAGACGAGGATGAGGTGGCCAAGGTGAGGGCCAAGGAGGTGGACTTACACAGTAGGAGGGAGGGATTGTTCTCAGGAGCTTCCGAGATTTCTTTTACGGCAATTTGTAACCCTCTTCTCTTCTTGTGTTGCAGGCCGCAAGGAGGGCTCTTTCCCATCTAGCCCCACAAGTCAAGTGGTGGGCGCATCCCAACAAATTTAGCCTCCACTTTGTTCTCCACCAGGCTGCCAAGCATCTGGTAAGGTCCCTCTGCTTCGTTGGCAGCTTTGCCCAGGGATGTCCTTGGGGGTGCAAGGCTCTCCTGCTGCACTCTCAAGCCTGTCTGATGCCACTTCTCCTTTGTCTTTGCCAACAGAGCAAGATCTTCAGCAAGAACATCCTTCGGAGTGCTGCCTTGACATGTACAAAGCCGTCTGCCAACAGGCTGCCAGCAGTCTCCAGGGTGGCAGCTCTGCTTCTGGGTAAGTCAAGTAACGTCCTTCCCTGGTAGGGATGGACAGAAACGTCTTGGAAACAATGGCAGGGAGGATGGGCATGTCCCCAGGCCGCTTGCTAGATAGGGGTCCATCTGCGCCCAGATCTTGCTCTGACTGCTCCACGAGGGTGGAGGCCTCTAGACGCATCAGAGCATACCTGTCAAGCTGCCTCTGCCTCCACTGCTTTGCACCGAGATGATGTCCCTTTTCTTGCCCTGTCTCTCTAGGTCATCTGGCTTTCCGGGGTGCCAGTTTCATCCAGAGCCAAGACATGGCATCCTATGGCACATGTAAGTGAGATGTACGGAGGCCAGGGAGGGATGCTTCTGCTGAGAAAGGGCTTTAGGGGAAGGCAGATTCCCAGATGTCTGTGCAGACAGAGGTGCCACAAGATGAACATGCAAAGAGGATTGGAATGCCCTCTCTCACACACAAATATTCCCCTACCCCACACCCTGGTCCTGGGAGGAGCTCTGGTGGGGGTACTTTGCAAGTTTTTGCCTTGTGAAAAGCTGATTCCTCTTCCTCAAGGGGAACCACCACTGCTTGTGTCCTGGTTGGGGTGGATACCCTGTGGACTCCTGCATCCCAACCTACAACCAGCGCACCTCCCCGGCCCGATTGCTGGGGCCACCCGATGGCTGTCTTAATATTTTTGATAGATGGCTCTTTTCCTATGCATCTCCACCTTGCTCAACCTTTCTCCCTTGCCACTCAGGGCTGGAAGAGATGCAGCAGCATGAGGAAGAAGGGCTCAGGAGGACAGGGAGGAGCTGCCTGAACATCATGCAGCGGGCCTGTAAACATCGGCAGAAAGGCAGGGTCCAGCGCCTTGTGAGGAGGCTGCTCCACTGTGTTCACAGGGAACCTTACCCGCAGGACTTCCTGAGCTGCATGCCAGGTGAATGAGGCATCTGGTGGGCTATTTGGACATCTGGTGGGCTGTTTGGATGTGACGTTTCTCAAGGAGCCCCTTTTTCCTCCTGGCAGAACATCCGCAGTAGCGCGAGGCCAAGGCAACGTGAACATCAGAGTTGTGCTGCAGATATTCCATCTTCTGCTCTCCGCGGGATCCAGTCTGGACCAGCACCAGGAACATCAACGCCATCAGGATCAACCAAGAGGAGTGGTGCTGCCCTCACGACCCTCCATACATAGTGGTAGGAAACCTTTTTGTTGTTGTTGTGTTTCTTGTTGATGTTGTTCTTGATTGTTGTTTTTATTGATGGATTTTGAATCTCAGGGTGGTTCACAACACCAAGCTGCAGTATACGAAGCACAAAATACATAATAAAAATAATCACTGCACAAAATTCATGATAAAAATATCAGAACATAATAAAAATAAAAATAATAAAAAACATATGCACAACGAATAAACAATACAAAAGCCCTGAAAACAACACTCCAGCCCACAAATACAAAATCTAAATCAACATGTCACGTTTAACAACCATTTAGAACAACCCCGCCCTGCAAATCAAACAGCACCCACCCAAGATAAAACCCCATCTTTGTTAAAACAGTCATGTTAACACAAGGGGGCTGGCCCATGATCTGGTCCCACCCCCTAAGTGCCGCTCCCAAAGGGACAATCTTATCTTTGTTGTTTCCCTTTTGTTAGGGGTCCCGCCCCCAGGACAGGCAGGCCCCCCCAGTTGCTGGTGTACGCCCAGGGTCCGGTTCCTTGCAGGACTCTCCGCCGTCCTCTTGAGTGAGGGGTGGCAGGCAACCCCCCAGCAGTACCTTTCTTCCATTTCTTTGTTAGAAAACACCTCCCCCTTTTTAATTTTTTTCCCCCACCAACAGTGGGGATTATGTTGGGGGCAACTAGAGGGACTAACATTCATGAGATTTAATACCCTTTCTAACATAATCTCTTTTCTCTCTTTCCTGCATGGAACAAAACCGTGATGGGAAACAGCGGCCTATCTGCTGGAGCCTGGGGGGAGACCTCCGGAGAAAAGAAGACCCCCGCAAGAATGTCATCAGCTGGGAAAGGAGCTGCCCTGAAGACAACACGTGCAACATCGACCCTCCATCTAGCAGTGAATTTGAGGACTGGACACTTTTTATTGACTCTTTCAGGAGTCAATAAACAGCAAACAGGACTTTTTTTTAGTGAGATAGATAGGTTAAAATGGATGTATAGAATAGTATAGGCAAAATATGGAGCATTCAAGGATAGGTCTTGCCAAAGGTTGCAGGCAGCTTTACCTGCAGCAATTGCATGTTGATTGCCCTCTTAAAAGACAAAGTCCAGCAACTGGAGGAACGTGTAGCTACGCTCCAAAGAATTAGAGAGCTGGAGCTCTTCTTGGAAGCAACAGAGCACACCGTCTCCGCCAAGGAGGAGACAGGGGACTCCCCTGAGAAGGAGGCTAGTTCACCAACACAGGAGCCAGATATATGGAGAAATGTGACTCAAAGAAGTAGGAGGCCCAGGGTTCGCTCTGATTGGTTAGAAATACACAATCGCTTTGAGGTCCTCTCCCCTAGCATGGAAGACGAAGAGCAGACTCCATCTGAGGATCTCTCCCTCATTACAGTCGATCAGGTATATGAAGACGAGCAGCAAAGTCAGTCCTCAGGGAATGTGCAGGCGACCTTGGAACGGACAGCTCACGGAAGAACCCCGACCAAACCTAAGAGGAGGCGTGTAGTGGTGATAGGGGATTCCCTACTGAGGGGAACAGAAGCAGTGATCTGTGGGCCTGACAAGATGTCTCGGGAAGTGTGCTGTCTCCCGGGGCTAAGATCCAAGATGTAACTGAACGACTGCAAGGAATCATAAAACCCACTGACAAATACCCCTTCCTCTTGGTTCATGTGGGAACCAATGACACTGCAAGCAATAGCCTCCAGAAGATCAAAAGAGACTATGAGGCTCTGGGCAGGAAATTGAAGCAATTAAATGCACAAATTGTCATCTCATCTGTCCTCCCAGTTGAACGACGTGGCCCAGGGAGAGAGGGAAAAATAGTGGAAGTGAATAGCTGGCTTCGCAAATGGTGTAAACAGGAACGGTTTGGATTCTTAGATCACGGACTGCAGTTTCTTGAAGATGGACTTCTGGCAAGCGATGGGCTGCACCTCACAACGGTTGGGAGAAATGTTTTTGCCAAAAATCTCAGAAACCTCATCAGGAGGGCTTTAAACTGACTAATGTGGGGGAGGGAGACAGTGCTCCTAAAGGTAGGAGTCTATCAATTGATGAAGATGATCATCCAAATGTCGTAGACCAAATGGAGCAAACAGCACGCAGACCTAGTGGTGGGAGGAAAAAATCCTTAAATAAGAGACACGGGGGAATGATTAATGGACTTCAATGTCTGTCCACTAATGTGCAAAGCATGGGAAATAAACAAGATGAGCTTGAGCTCTTGGTACAGCAAACTAAATATGACATAATAGGCATCACTGAAACCTGGTGGGATAAGTCCCACGATTGGAATGTAATAATGGGGGGGATACAATCTATTTCAGAGAAACAGACCAGACAAGAAAGGAGGAGGAGTGGCGTTGTATGTCAGGGATGTGTATACCTGTGAAGAGATCCAAGATTTAGAACCTCAAAGCCAAAGTGAGAGCATTTGGGTCAAAATTAAGGGAGAGAAGAATAACAATGACCTCATTGTGGGAGTTTACTATAGATCCCCAAGCCAAACGGGGACATAGATGATGCCTTCCTGGAACAGATGGCCAAGCATGCAAAAGGAAGGGAGATAGTAGTAATGGGGGACTTCAATTACCCGGATATTTGTTGGATGTCAAACTCAGCCAAGAGCATAAGGTCAAACAGATTCCTCACTGGCCTTGCAGACAACTTCATTGTCCAGAAAGTTGGAAGAAGCAACAAGAGGAACAGCCATTTTAGATCTGGTCCTAACCAATGTTGATGACCTGGTTAGTGGGGTAGAAGTGGAAGGATCATTAGGCGCGAGTGATCATGCTCTTCTGAAGTTTACTATACAGCGGAAAGGAGCAGCCAAGCATACTAGGACTCAATTTCTTGACTTTAAGAAAGCCGACTTCATAAAACTTAGGGAAGTGCTGGGTGAGATCCCATGGACAGTAATACTAAAAGGAAAGGGAGTTCATAATGGCTGGGAGTTTGTTAAGAGGGAGATACTAAAAGCACAACGTCAGGCAATACCAATGAGACGGAAACATGGAAGGTGCCTAAAGAAGCCAGGGTGGCTATCTAAAGAACTTTTAACTGAGTTAAGATTAAAAAGGATGTGTACAAAAAATGGAAAAGGGGAAACCACCAAAGAGGAATTCAAACAAATAGCCAGCACGTGTAGACACAAAGTCAGAAAAGCTAAAGCACAGAATGAACTCAGGCTTGCTAGAGAGGTTAAAAGCAACAAAAAAGGCTTTTATGGGTATGTTCGTAGCAAAAGGAAGAACAAAGAAACAGTGGGGTCACTCAGAGGAGAAGATGGTGAAATGCAAACAGGGGACACAGAAAGGGCTGAACTCCTCAATGCCTTCTTTGCCTCAGTCTGCTCCGATAAAGAAAACAATGCCCGACCTGAAGAATTTGGAGCAAATGATTCAGCAGAGGAAGCACAGCCCAGAATAACTAAGGAGATAGTACAAGAATACTTGGCTAGTTCAGTTCAAGAAGGACACTGACAAACTGGAACGTGTCCAGAGGAAGGCAACCAAAATGGTCAAAGGCCTGGAAACGATGCCTTATGAGGAACGGCTAAGGGAGCTGGGCATGTTTAGCCTGGAGAAGAGGAGGTTAAGGGGTGATATGATAGTCATGTTCAAATATATAAAAGGATGTCACATAGAGGAGGGAGAAAGGTTGTTTTCTGCTGCTCCAGAGAAGTGACACGGAGCAATGGATCCAAACTACAAGAAAGAAGATTCCACCTAAACATTAGGAAGAACTTCCTGACAGTAAGAGCTGTTCGACAGTGGAATTTGCTGCCAAGGAGTGTGGAGTCTCCTTCTTTGGAGGTCTTTAAGCAGAGGCTTGACAACCATATGTCAGGAGTGCTCTGATGGTGTTTCCTGCTTGGCAGGGGGTTGGACTCGATGGCCCTTGTGGTCTCTTCCAACTCTATGATTCTATGATTCTATTCTATTCTATGATTCTAGGTAACACTATGCTAGATAGTACTTTGTATATTATTTTTGTTCCTTCTTTTTTATAAACATCTTTGTTCTCCCCCCCCCCATTTCCCCCCTTCCCATCACTTTATTTCTTTATAATTGTAATTATTTTATTAAAAATATATTTTTTTAAAAAGGGTAAATATGGATCTTATGGTTTATGTTAAAATGTGTAAAAAATCATTTTGTAAAAAATGAATAAATAATATTTTTGTTAAAAAGAGAAATAGGTCTTTTGGTTTGTGAAAAGTAAGCTAGTAAGGGAAATCTCTACACACTTCCCTGGAGTGATGCCCCGTCATCCCAAGATGGAGACATAGAGGCATAGAGATGGGAGGATGCTGGAATCTGGAGAGGCAGGAGATTGTCTTTGCTCTGAGCTGGACCCAGAGCTTTGGCCTGGGCCAACCCTGGGAAGCTAATGGGGAAGCAAGATCGGTTGGAGGGTTACTGCCATGAAACGCTTCATCCTAGCATCTATGTTAGCATCTATGTGCAAGCAAAGCCTAATATCCCAAAGAAACCCCCGTCTTCATTCCAAGGAAACTGAACCCAGGCTAAGCGCAGGCAGCCCTGGAGTCGTCTGCCGCTCAGAGATGGGGATGTTCACAACTGTCCCTTTTCAGCATCCTGCCCCACTTTCTCCTCAGTTCTCTCCAAATGCATCTCACCTGCAAGCTAGGTAACAACCGAGCAAACTTTTGGTATGGTGTTTAAATCATTAGCGATTATGTTGAGACAGCTAGCATGGCAAGTTGTTTGACTTCCGTGGGCCAGTGTGGTTAACATGAAGGAATATTCAACATTATCAGAGATTCTAAGGTTTGAACAAGGAACCTCATAGTTAAGGGATGAGATCTGGCCTAGAAAAGGACTTGGAGTCCTCTTCAAGCTTGAAAAAGAAGTACAGTGGTACCTCGGGTGACAGACACTTCAGGTTAAATACGCTTCAGGTTACAGACTCCGCTAACCCAGAAATAGTACCTTGGGTTAAGAACTTTGCTTCAGGATGAGAACAGAAATTGTGCTCCGCTGGCGCAGCAGCAGCGGGAGGCCCCATGAGCTAAAGTGGTGCTTCAGGTTAAGAACAGTTTCAGGTTAAGAACAGACCTCCGGAACAAATTAAGTTCTTAACCCGAGGTACCACTGTATGTTGGTTACTAGCAGGCCTGGCATTATGAAGGTGGCTTCGTCTGGGATGAATACCTTGCTTCCTTAATAAAAAATTCTCTTTGCAGGTATTGTTGGATACCAACTCTGATAAGCCCAAGCCAGATGAGGGGAGTCCTCTTCCCCACAATTCCTCACAGCTCCAGCCACGAACTTCAGGTACTTTGGACCCTGTGGGTGACGTGAGGTGGAAATTAATAATGCAGAGTTTCAAAGTGAAAGAATAAGAGCTTTGCTGAGTTAAAATAAACTTCTTCATAAACAAGATTGACTGAGATTACATACTGACTCTGCTTACAACTGAGGCAGACTGACTCTGACTGAAATCTTACTGAGAGAAAATGGCTGCCAAGTCACATGTCAGAGTGACTCAGCAGTTGGCAGTTAGGCCTGAATAACTTGACTAGGCCCAAATGACTGTGCAGTCCCAGCACTTCCCAGCCTGCTTTGCTGCTTCTGCTCTCATGTGTCTTTGTCACATGACACTCCCCAAAGACCTGGAGAGCAGAAATATAAACAGGCTGGGAAGTGCCGGAACTGCACAATCATTTGGGCCTACTAAAGTTATTCAGGCCTAACTGCTAACTGTGGAGTCACTCTGACATGTGACTCATTCTCCTTATAAGTAGCAGCCATTTTCTCTCTGTGTTCTCTGTAAGATTTCAGTCAGAGTCAGTCTGCCTCAGTTATGAGCAGAGCCAGTATGTAATCTCAGTCAATGTTGTTTATGAAGAAGTTAATTTTAACTCAGTAAAGCTCTTATTCTTTCACTTAAAAACGGCATTACAGTCATGCATTGGGTTAAATGTGCTTCAGGTTGAGCGTTTTCAAGTTACGCTCCGCAGCGACCCGGAAGTAATGGAGTGTGTTACTTCCGGGTTTCGCCACTCGCACATGCGCAGACGCTCAAAATTACATCGCGCGGAAACGGCAAAACGCGACATGTGCAGATGCGCAGTCGTGTCTTACGTTCTACTCAGGATACGAACAGGGCTCCGGAACGGATCCTGTTCGCATCCAGAGGTACCACTGTGTTAATTTGCACTGCGCATCAATGGGTTGTGTCTGGCTCACTGAACTTAGCAGACATGGCTAACTTAGACCCAGTAATTTCATTGAGTCTACTCTGAGCAGGGCTTAGTTGGGTACAACCCTTTAGGCCTGAACTGGCCCGCACATTGCATTCAGCCATAGGGTGGCCACGTGCCCTACTTTACAGAGGACAGGTCTGTATCTGAAGGGCTGTCAGAGGACAGTCCTTTATTTGAAAAAGTCATTTTTATTGACTGGCTTGTCCAAGCCTAGTTTAAATATAAGGAACCAAAAGCGGGGTGACCAGGGGTATTCAATTTGCCCATCAATAGTGACCACCTTGACAGCAGACTGAGCAGGCACACAATTCAGCTGACCACAGTCTTCCCCACTATGGTGAGATGTGTTGTACCTAAATTTAAATTGTAGCAATCATTTGTATATTTGCGTTTATACATATAAATTAGCATATTTAAATTTTATGAAAGTAGTTCCCGTCCTTTTTTGGTGATGAATGTCCCCTTTTCTGGTGATTTGTAATTGAGCATCAGACTCCAAAATCAGGTTGATGTGTAGTGAATATGAGGCAGAGGGAAGTTCTCCTTTCCTAGTCAGATTGCTCTATCGATGACAGGCATATCAATGGACATACCAGCAGTGAAAAAGAAATACTGAGGTATGCACAACCAACAGAACAATCTTGGCATGTTTACTGCCATACTATTGCACACAATCAATCTTAGTTCCAGGTAAGTGTGTGCAGGATTTCAGTCAAAATGACCATTTGTGCTATACCACCTCTGGTAGAAATACAATTTGTAACTTCAAATGTCATCCTCGAAAAATGCTGCATTTTGTGACAATTGGCTAGCTGGTCTTTGGGAAGGAATTTATGTTCAGTCAGTGCTGTTCTCTCTAGAAAGGAGGATTTCTGAACAAAAACCTCTACCTCTTCATGCCCAAAGGCATATAATAAATTGAGTCTGATGCGCCAGTATGGACAAGTGACCTGCAGCTGTACAGTACCAATTTTGTTATGATCCTTGCTGCTTTACCAGGAGGTGGGTGACACAATGTGGGCCTGGATGAGCTTGCATTTGGATGTGGGTCAAAAGAATTTAATGCACAACCAGTGAATTTCTTAAGGTCTCGTTGAGGAAGAACTTGAGGCCACAAATGCTGTGAAAATGCTGTAAAAATATCTACCACTGTACTTCTTTACACTTACACAGACACAGACACATTTCTTATGAAGTTTCAATCATTGCTTGTGTGTGTGCTCAGCAATACAAAATGCAAAGAAATAATACTATCACATAGCATCCAGTGACAGAAACGTTGGACAAAAACTTATTTATTCATTTATTTATTGCATATAATCTAGGACTGCCATACACCTGGATTTTCCTGGACATTGCTGGGATTTCAGTGGCGGAACTGATGTCTGAGCTCAACAACTCTGGCGTTTGTCAATAATGTAGGTGTCTCTCCTTTAAAAGCTCAACCATTTCGGTGATTTCATTTAAAAAAGCCCTGCAACTTTCAGGATGTTTTGGCAACTCTGATATAATCAGGGTGATGCTCTAACACAGAGGATGGAGGAGATAGGTTGATTGTTGCAGTCCAGGATTTGAAATACCAGAAGCAGCTTCATGTTAAGAAGACAAATGGTTTAAACCTTGTGTGTGTAAGAAAATGTATTTTAATAGCTTGCTAAAACTTCTAATAAAATAAAATCCAAACATGTCTTTCTTCAGAGAAGCATAGAATCTTAGAGTTGGAAGGGACCCCAAGGATCATCTAGTCCCACCCCCTGCAATGCAGGAATCTCAGCTAAAGCGTCCATGGCAGATGGCCATCCAACCTCTGTTTAAAAACCTCCAAGGAACTAGAGTCCACCAGCTCTCGTGGGAGTCTCTTGCACTGCTGAACGGCTCTTACTGTCAGAAAGTTTTTCCAAATGTTTAGTCAGAGTTTCCTTTCTTGCAACTTGAAGCCATTGGTTTGAGTCCTACCCTCCAGAGCTGGAGGAAACAAGCTTGCTCCCTTCTCCATCCTTAGGATGGAACCCTTAAGATATTTGAAGATGGCTTTCATATCTCCTCTCAGTCTCCTCTTCTTCAGGCTAAGCATACCCAGCTCCTTCAAGCGCTGCTCATAAGTCTTGATTTCCAGACCCTTGATCATCTTGGTTGCCCTCCTCTGCACATGTTCCAGCTTGTAAACATCCATTTTAAATTGTGGTGCCCAGAATTGGACACAGTATTCCACGTCTGACCAAGGCAGAATAGAGTGAGACTATTACTTCCCTTGATCCAGACACTAGACTTCTGTTGATGAAGCCTAGAGTAGCATTAGCTTTTTTTGCAGCTGCATCACACTGTTGACTCATGTTAAGCTTGTGGCCCACCAAGACCCCTAGATCCTTTTCACATGTACCGCTAGTAAGCCAGGTGCCCCCCATCCTATATTTCTGCATCTGGTTCTTCCTGCCTAAGTGCAGAACCTTTAATTTGTCCCTATTGAAATTCATTTTGTTAGCTTGTGCTCAGTTCTCCAATCTGTTAAGGTCATTTTGAATTCTGATTCTGTCTTCTACAGCATTAGTAACCCCTCCCAGTTTGATGTCATCTGCTAATTTGATGAGCATCCCCTCAATTCCTTCATCCAAGTCATTTATAAAGATGTTGAACAACACTGGGCCCAGGACAGAACCCTGCAGCACCCCACTTGACGCTTTTTCCAGGATGACAAGGAACCATTAATGAGTACTCTTTGGGTTCTGTCAGTCAACCAGCTACAAATCCACCTAACAGTTACCTTGTCCAACCCACATTTTACCAGCTTCCTCATGAGAATATCATGGGGGACTTTGTCAAAAGCCTTACTGCAACAGATGTTGAAAAAGATGTTGACTCAATTTATCTGACCAATCTCAAATTCTGAACACTTTAATTCATGTTTTTCTAGAGTCTCTTTGCTACTTCATTTGGAGACAATATTGTTCCTAGCTGGAACTCTTAGATAGAATTAACTGGGCACTATTCAACAGCTGCTCCCCTTTGCTTCAATGACAGATATAAATAATTCTCAGATTTATTTAGTTTTTGTCTTATTCACATTCAGGAAACAAATTAGAATGGTACATTATTTGATCAGAATCTGCTCCTCCTGTATGTTAAGAAGTACAAGGCACCACTAATTTCATTGGTGAAACTGGCTTGTTTCAATGGTGACATTATTAGCTGGTATATTTGCAAAAATAATCTCATTCCTGCTAGGAAACAGCAGTTAATACAGGCAGCTGTATTTCTAAAACTGAACCCTTTCCCTTCTGCCCCCCTGTCATTTACCTCTGTGTAACCCCTCCCCACAGGGATTTTTCTCCCAGTTTAATTTACTTCTGGTTTCAGAGGAAAAAAGAGTTTAGATAATGAAGGCAAATCTTTCAGCTCTCTGTACCCATGCAATCCTTTTAAAAAGTCTTAATTCCCCTTTCTTAAAATTTGAATTTTTCCACTTTTCAGCCTGACCTGTCTGACAAAACCCATTGCCACCTATAATGTAGAGCTGGCGAAGAAAAAGAAGGCCTTTCTAACACAGTCTTTTCTTGCCAATGTGAACTGTTAGCAGAATTGCATATTATGCTATAGCAATGCTAAAACTGTCATTTATTTTCCAGTTTGTTTACCTATGGCGCAGGCAGGTTAATATGGCTAATCTAGGATTGTGCTTAGTTGGCTTCTTCAGAGGTAACTTCAAGGAATGTTTAACGTGTGCCCCTGGTTGTCAGTCACAAGCTTGGAAGGTAATGCAAAAGGGTACCTTTACATTCTGGTATAGTCCAGAATTCAGCTACTTTGCATTGCACCTCATCCTTTACACAGGATGAGATGCAATGCAAAGTAGCTGCATTCTGGGCTATACTATTTCAGGTCATAGTTTTTTGAATGCTCCCCCAGTACCCTACAAGTACCTTAACAAAACTTCTCCTTGATGTTTTAGGAATTTTTTTCCTTAGGAAAACACTCAAAACTATGACCCCCCTCACTTCCACCAATTGCAATCTAAAATGGTACAGTCTAGAATTTTATCACCTAATTTGTGTAATGTGTCAGAGGAGCTCTTATTCCATTCATTGAGGGAATGTCCAGCCAGGTTATTCTGATAACCCTTCCCAAGAACGGCAAAGTTTCTTACACAGTTATCTCTTCTGCACATTATTCTGCCAAATAAAGTAATGGCCTTTATTACCTTGTCACTATCTCTGGGTCCCTCTTTCTATAGTGTTGTGGTGATTATTCATGTACAGCATCATAAATATCATTAGAAGGAAAGCTTAAACTATTCCTTTCGACCCACCGATCTCTTGATTACATCATTTGCAAATGTTTTCACTGAGCGCATTATGAATTTCTCTAAGGACTATAAAATGTGTTTTAAAGTAAGCACAAAATGCTCTGATAAATAAAAACACTTGAATGATCTTCCTATTGGGTAGGAATGTCTATTTTAAAAATTACACCCCTCTTTTAAAGAAGCAATTGTAATAAAAAATGGGTATCCCAAATGGCTAAGTTACATTCAATATTCCATGTCCCTGTGGTATGCACACTTTCTGAAAAGCTAAACTGACATAAACATTACTTTAAAAACTAATCAGGGTATATGGAAATGACATAAAATATCAGCACTGGTACTTAGAGCTAATCAGAAAATATTGCTTTGACAATCCGAAATCATAATATTTTATTGTGATTATTACCCACTGTGGTATCTCAAGTCTGTGTGATCCTGATGAGCTAAGGCAGGAAGAGGCAGCATCACAAGCCTCTCCAGCAGACAGATTGGTTGAGAGCTGCCTTGCCAAATAACTTGAGAGCCACCCTTCCTCATGGATATGAGCTTCCCTAGGTCCTTGCAGAGGGAATAGCCCCCTTCTTACCAACTATGCCATTGCTGGACCGAGATGTCAACATTGTGCGGCTGATATATTCATAAAGGCTTGATATATTCATAAAGGCTCCTATTGCTTTGTGATAGGAGTTCATTGTTTTCATGGGATAAATGAAGAACAGAGAACCAGATCAGATATTCCATTTTTCCCCTCATGTGTTTTGATAGCCCTGCAGGGTGCCTTCACATATTGGGCAGATTTTATAAGTTAAAATGTATAATCAAGCCATAAAGTGAGACAATTGTGTTATGTGGAAATCTTAAAGTTCCTCTTAGGAGTTAATTCACTGTAAAGAAGACATTTGATTTTATATTATTAGCATATGAGCCTGCAATGTAAATCTACAATGTTTTCGGCAACCTGATATTTGTGATTTCTAACATTTACTGGAAACTCTTCTTACTCTGATAGGTCAATTATTATCCTCCTGAGGGGGAAGAGGGGAAGATGTAGAAATTTGACAATGCCAGAGAATGCTCCCTGTTATTTTTCACTACTTGTTCTGTTAGATAGTATCAGGGAAACACATTATTCCTTGCATCTAGAGTTTAAGGCTGTTAGGCTGATGCCAAAGATAAGTAAGAGAGATGAACTATAGCAAAAGTCTAAATGCCATCTGAAAGCAAGATGGCTCTGTTTAGTTACAGAATACCCCCCCCCCCCCGCAATGGCTACTTGTAATGGGTTATTGTGTTAGGAGCCACAGAGCTGCCTCCAGTTCACTTTAATTTATTGTTGCAATAGCTCATGTACTTCAACAGCCTAAAGAGCATTTCCCACAGATTAGTTAATAAGATGCAGCCCCGAGAAAGGCCCAGTGACTCTGTTTGTTACCGTCTGCTTAGCGCTGCTCTGGCTACAATATGCCAGTGCTGAAGTCAGTGAAACGGCAAAGGCATCATCAGCACACCATCGTCCAAGGAGAAGGCAAGCTGATACAGCAGGAGAGATACTTTGTTTAGAGGCAGCAGAAGCTTCCAGCAAATGACCCAAGCGATTAGAAAAGAAAAATAGACAGGAATGCGATGAAAGGGCAACCCCAAGCAGAGAATCATTATGAATGAACAGAAGGGCACTTTTTTTTTTTTTTAGTTTTCAAAAATGCACACACTTAAATGTAAAGGAAGGTCCTGACAAAGATAAAACACTATAAAAGAGTGACACATTTGATGGATGTGTCATAAGCCTTGAAACAAACACACACACTCATCAATTGCTTCCTTGGCTTCAGTCCAGTAATTTTTATTTGGGAAAGCCACACGCTAGTGCGGTTTTGATTGCAGGAAGTGAGTGGTTGTGAGGATACTGTTTTATTGATGCGCTTAGTTCCCCCCCTCCACCCCCGATAGGGATGCTGATATGATGGGAACTGTTCTGTTTCTTGGAAAGAAGGGCTAGCAAACCTTCTCAGTTTGTTTTTAGTAATCTGTCATCCAGCCCAATAAACTTCCCCAATGCTTTTATTTTAAAATAACACAAACACATGCAACTCCCTGGCAATCCCACAACTGTGTGTGTATTTATGTGTGTGCATCTGTCTATGCATCTGCGGGAAGCCTGTTGTGCTGCTATTAAAGCCAGTGATGGCCTTTTAAGACTGCCCTTTTCTTAATACATTTGATTTGCACTAGCCATTTCCAAGTAATGAGAGGGAGTAGGACTGGCCTTCCTTCAGTGGATACATGAGGATTATCCTGCTTCCCTATTTTAAGAGATGTGCTCTCCACTGCTGGAGAGAAGGAGTACAAAACATCCCAAGTGAAGAGAGACAAAGATTGCAAGGGCCAGATGAAACAGGCCAGAAAGTTAGTTGTGTTTATGCCTTATCTGATGTCACTGTAGTATAGGATGTCAGTTACACATTGTCAAAAAAGAGGAATTCCATCAACAAAACAATTGACATGAATTTGCACAAATTTTGCGTGCACTAATGTATATGTATAGATGCAAATTTAGAAATGTTTACTACAATCTAAACAGAAATATGCAATGAATCTCACCTTAGTGGAAAAGACTGTGGCTGAGTAACTAACTATTGCTAACTGTTGATGGGCAACTTCAAGGCTCTGGTCTCCCTTATTCTGGTTCTTTTAACTGGATTTGGACCAGACAGCCCTTCAAAGAAAGGGTGCCTTCAAACAAAGGACTGTAATTTGATAGTCTTTTAAAGAGAGGCCTTTTTAAACTTGGCCACATAGCCAGCCTATGTCATTGGCACCATCCTGTAGGTGCTCAAAGCAAGTACTACTGATTTTCCTGTCCTAAAACAAACAAATAAACAAACAAATAAATCACTGTGTTTCTTGCTTCGGCAACAATCACCATTTCTAAGCAAATGGACTACAGTTTTAGCAGTGGGAAATAGTGAGTTCACTCCTGATACCTGTTGATGGGATGGGATCTGAGCAATCACTGTTTAGTCTCTTCTCACCTTAATAAACTAACATCTGCAAGGTCCAGAGATACTTTTCGTATATAAATGGATTAAGAGTCAAATATAATTCAGATTCAATCATGTCTCCCTATCCATTTGCTTCATTGGATTTCCTATGCCCCAATGTATACCCATATAAATAGTGATGTAAGACCTGCGTTCATAAATAACCAAATGGTGTCATCCAAAATCAACACATTCAAAACTAGATAAGCACCAGCCAGGTACACAATGCTGACTCCTGCCCAAAGGGACTTGCAGCATATCAGCATAAAACAAGTGAAAAGAAAAACAAAGGAGAAGAAAAAGTCCCAGCGAAGAAACCTATTTGGGAACAGGCACTCACTTGTAACCTGAGAGTCCTTCTAAAGGGACTCTGAAAACTCTGTGCATCCACCCCATATGTGCACATGCTTCAGTTTCATGCTTCACTTTCAACCAGGGGAATTATTTTTGGGGATATGAAAAATATATTTATAGAGAAAGCATTAAATTGTTCATTAGAATATGAAAAAATGTAGATGGATTGGAATTCACACCACCTTTTGCACACAGCAGTAAATAAGAGTGCAGCAACCACTTTTCAAATCAGTCCTTCATAGCTAAACTCCTTTCATGAATAACTTTTCCATAACAAAGATACATATATATATATATATATATATATATATATATATATATTCTTACTTATATATGATATTCTCACCAAAGGAAGCAATAAGGACAAAAAAACCCCTCTCGCCTAATGCAGCTATCAACAGGAGCAAAACTTTTTTAAAAATACACAAACATTTTCCTAACTAGTGTCTTGAACTTCTTGCTGAGTTGGCAGACCCATAATAACATGTAAGTCAACTTCAATATGGAATTGAAGATTAAAAGAGAAATGGTGTCTTTACACTGTTAAGAGAAACCAGGAAATCTGCAGCAAGCGGCGTGAGCAAAAGAAGTTTGAAATCTTATCTATACTTTCAAAGTAAGTTCCATATCTTTCTTTTTTACAAAGAACATTTGTCCTAGTTTGGTGTCTGTGTGTGTTTATGTTTTCTCCCCTTCTTGCTTCAGAATTAGAGAACCAAAGCAAAAAATGGGTGGGGTGGGGGGAAGCATTCTTTTGTTTAAAAACCCCCGTTTTAGAACTGATTCTGATGCTTGGTTTTATGTGGTACTAATGCAGTCCTTACACAGAGTCAGTTTGGGGCATAAGGTAAAGGTAAAGGGACCCCTGACCATTAGGTCCAGTTGTGACTGACTCTGGGGTTGCGGCGCTCATCTCGCCTTATTGGCCGAGGGAGCCGGTGTACAGCTTCCGGGTCATGTGGCCAACAAGTTTGGGGCATACTTCCCTGGTAAAACAATAGAAACTTACTTCATCTGAGTCGTTACCAGTTTTAGAGAACATCCTGCTGTGTTTCTACATTGCCTGTGCATATAGAGTCTCATTTCCTCATGTAGATCTATATTGCTAAGTTGGGGTGAGCACTTCTGAAGAATCTGGGTAGGGCCAAATAACTATTACAATACTGTTATATAGAATATTTAATATACTGCCATTCCATCTTAGTTGGTAAGGCTAAATGGTCCTTAATGGTAATCCAATTCTTTTTTGAACTTGTGACTCACTCCCTACTTTCCTCTGACTGTTCCTACCTCCTGGATAATATCTTTCAGAAGAAAGCAACAGGGTGAGAACAATATGGGTGAAACCAATTCTGCAAAGGTCAGATAGATTTGCTTAATTGATGTGACAAAGGGATTGCAGCTCTCAATATCCTTAACCATTGGCCAGGTTGCCTAGGGATGATGGGAGCTGGAGTCCAACAGCATCTGGAGTGACAGAAATGCACACTCTGAATCCCAAAATTATTTCCCACTTTTTCTTTCACAGTGGATGCCATGAAGGTGAAAATGAAATGGTAGCTGAATGAACATGCTGGTCTTGCAGTGTATGTTCAATACTGGCTGGCGCCCTCACCGCAAGGTGGTGCTCAGAGTTCTATCCTCCCACCAGGTTCTTCTCAACTGCCTTGTTTCCAAGGTCTCCTGCTGCTCTGTTTTCTAGCTGCACTATTAATACAGATGAATTTTCACCTCTAAATGAGGTTGTTTAGTTCTCAGATAGTTAAATGTGAATTAGTATGGACCTATGGAGGCTGATTTCTATTACATTTCAAATCCATAGGGAATTCCTTGCATGGGTTTGCATCCTGCTCAAAGGCACACATTAATACATGCTTCAAATGGTTTTATATTTGGATGTAAATACATACAAAACCTTCATCCCACAAAATAGAAAGAGAGGGAAAACGAGCAACGAGTTAAACAGACGATGAAGGGGTCTTTACATTGTCATCCATAAGTCTTTCCCTGGCTTTCATGGCCTTCATCACAAAAACCGCTACCACATGGGTAATACGTGGGTTTGCATCAACTAACAAAAATTTTACAGAGTTCAACTGAATTCATACTGTGACTGCAAAAGCCAGGGGTGATTCCTATTCCCGACAGAGATGCAGTGGCAGCCCAGCTAGCTCTAAGGATGAATGGATCACCATGTTTCTGGTCCATGGTCCATATTCATGACCTTTCTGCCATATTTTTGCATTTATCTGTTATTTGTTTTTAAAGAAAGACCAGCTACATGAGATTGTACATTTAAATATGTAATTAAACAAAACTTTTGAAAGAATTTTCTGATAAAATATTGGAAGATGTTTTATTTTAAAAAGTATCTATGTGCCACAAATTCAATGTAACATGGTGATGTACAACAGTAGAGATAATAAAATCCCATAAAAATAGTACAAAATGCTTAGGTTCAGTGGCTGAACAAAAAATCCAAAGAGTTGCATAGACATAAAAAGGTCTTCAAGAGACACCTGCAAATCAAAAGCAAAGGTGCCTGCTGAATCTTTGCTAGAAGAGCATTACACAGCATGGGACCAGTGACACTAAATACCCAACTTCTAGTGGAAACCATTCAAGCCCCTGTAAACATAGGGGACAGTTAGGAACACTCGTCCAGATGATCTCAGTGATCAAGCTGGGATATAACGTAGTCTGTAAGGCATCCTGGACCCAAGTGGTTCAGGGATTTGTATATTAATACAAGAGCCTGGAACCAGGCCCAGTAGCATATGGGCAGCCAGGTGTTACCTGCTGTTGGCTACCTGCAGTCTAGTCACTCTAGCTAGAACTTGCAGCCAGGCCTACAGGCAGCCCCACCCAGAGCACACTGCAATAATACAGTTCCAATATTACCAATGCATGGGCCACAGTGACTAGATTATTCCTGGCCACAGGTGGTGTATCAGATGAAACTGGCATCATCATCATTGTTGTACCCCACCCATTTGACAGAGTTCTCCCAATCACTCTGGGCGGCTTCCAACAGAATATAAAAGAACACAATGAGACACCAGGCCTAAAAGCTTCCTGATACAGGACTGTACTCCTAGCCACAGAGTTATGACAAAGATCCGTCCAAAAGCACCAGCAGGCAAGACTATCTAAATAAATTGTATCTAAAAATATGCATTTTAAACACATTTTGATATGTGTCTTAGCCAACAGCTGCACCACAAAATTCAGAGATGTGCATGCAAAATCCGTTGCAGTCTTGGTGAGGCGGATCAGGTGACTTTGCATCCGAACTCACAAAGAATTAGTAGTTCCTCAAGCTTCCCCAGCTAGAACAAGCTATCTATATTGATCTGTGCTTTAGAACTGATTCTTCCTTCAAGGTGCTGAAAAAGTGAAGCCTTTGTTTCCTGATTTGTGTTCCAGCTGTGACAAATGTGAGATAGTGCTAAAGAAGAGCAGGCCTCCACGCAGTGTGGTGTGCCTTTGTTGCCACTGAGTAACCACAGCTAAGTCTTCCCCATTTGAGATTATGAAAGGATGCTTTCCACCCAGTGTGCATCTTCCAGGTACAAATTTGATGCTGGACCAGTAGATTTCACTGCAGAAATGAACCACTCCCCTCTTTCCAAAGTTTGGCCCTGTATAAAAAGTGGAAGCTAGTGGGCAATTTGTTCAACAATACTGCTTCTGGTCGCTTCCCAGACAGATATTTTGGCGCTACCACAGCTGCTCTTTCTCTGGAATGTGTGTATGGAAAACCTCCAGCCACACTGCTCTGACTTTAGTATAATTGCTGACATTCCTCTTCATTATTAAAGGCTCACTCTTCTGAAAATGAGACCACAGCTGATAAAAATGGCCGTAATAAAATGACTCATTTTGCAGAATTGGGAAATCTCAGTGGTAAAGTCCTTGCTGTGCATGCAAAAGGCCTGAGGTTCAGTGTCTAGCATCTTCAGTTTCAAAGGACCAGGGGGAATGGGACATGGAAGCCCTCTGCCAGAGAACCTAGAGAACCACTGGCAGCCAGAGCCTACGGTATTGTGCTGGTGGACAAACAGTGTGTGTCCTGGCCTAAGGCAGCTTATACTAGAGTCTATGTTTGTGTGTGTGTGTTTATCCTGTTGGCAGTGCATTGCAGGGTTGGACTAGATGCCTCTATGGGCCCCTTCAAACTCTCTAATTATGTGATTCTATGATTCTACGCTACTCTTGCACAAGCAGCCTCTAATGCTCTGTGATTAGACAAAGGTTTCTTGGACAAGACAGCACTCTGATTTCCTTTCTGAGAGACACACTATGACTCCCATCTACACCTGAAGCCCCAATGCTTTGAATGCAGTGCAAAGATATTAATATATATAATTATTTTGACTTTTAGAAAACAGCTGAAGGCAGCCAAGTATAGGGAAGTTTTTAATGTTTGATGTTTTATTGTGGTTTTTGTTGGGAGCTGCCTAGAGCGGCTGGGACAACCAGTCAGATGGGCAGGATATAAAATAATAATAACTATTATTATTATTATCATCATCATCATCATTATCATTATTTTATTTATATCTCATACTTTCTTCTTGAGTAGCTCAGGGTTGTCTCACAGTTCCTCAATGAAAACAAGGGGAAGAGGTAGAAAACTATAGAGCATGCACAGTTGTTGTTGTATTATTATTATTATTATTATTATTATTATTATTACTGTATTGACCTGAATATAAACCTCACTTTTTCCCAAATTCCGATCATGAAAAGTTAAAGTGCGGCTTATATTTGTGACCTTACAGTATGCAGCCAGGAGTACAGGGCAAACAGCGCCAGGACCACGGAGAAGCGGCGCCCGCCCTGTGCGTAGTCCCCCATCCTCTCCCCCAAGGCCAGGAAGGGAGAGAGAGCGACGAAGGAGTAATTTTAAGTTCCAAGTA